CCTTCGATGCTGCTGCTCACATCGGCGAGCGTCTTCGACTGACCGGACGGCAGTACGGTCGACTTGATGTTGACAAAACTCATATCGGGCGTGAACTTGGCGTTCGCCCAGTTTCCGCGGCTCCACTGGTACGACGTCTGGAAGCCCGTGAGCTCGCGCGCAATGCTCGAGCACGTCGAGACCGACTTGCACTCGCCGGCGCGGAAGGCCACACTGTCTTGAACGTAATCAAAGTACGGAATCGTGACACACCCAAATGACGGGTCGAGGGACCGGAGCATGTTCTCGAAGCCGAGCAGGAAGCGACGGTGCCAGTAGAGGAAGACGCACGTGCCGTGAGCTTCGTACCACGTCATCTGGTTGCGGTGGATCTTGGCAAAGAGAGCGTAGTTGCCATTCGACATGGCAGTCTCGATCGCCTTCTTGTACGTCGCCTTCTCCGTCTCCGAGTACGAGTCCCACGACTTACGCGTGCGGGCGCACACCGGGGCCGTCGTGGGCGCCACCGTCGGGGCAGTCGTAGGAGCGACGGTCGGGGCAGTTGTCGGGGCAACGGTCGGAGCAGCCGTAGGAGCAGTCGTCGGTGCAGCCGTAGGAGCTGTCGTCGGGGCGACCGTGGGAGCAGCCGTGGGGGCGACCGTGGGCGCTTGCGTCGGAGCGTCAGTGGGCGCTTGCGTGGGGGCATCGGTCGGGGCAACCGTGGGCGCTTGCGTGGGGGCATCGGTCGGGGCAACCGTAGGGGCTTGGGTAGGAGCATCGGTCGGGGCGACAGTGGGCGCCTGCGTCGGTGCATCGGTCGGGGCAACTGTAGGGGCTTGGGTAGGAGCATTGGTCGGCATTGGCGTCGGCGGGTACGTGGGCTTGGCTGTGGAGGGACTCGGCGTCGGGCTCGGCAGCGATCGCGACCCGGACGTCGCACCCCACACACCGTTGTAGCGCACGGCGTCCTTGCTGTGCATCATGCACCAGCCGAGGTACGACGTGAAGCGTTCGCAGCGCGGGTTGGCGTCGCAGTCGGCGCAGCAGCCCGCGGGCGTAAAGCGGAAGGTCGACCCGACGTCCGCGCCCCAGTAGTACGTGTCGGCTTGGAGCCGGCTGCAGCTCGAGGGTGCGGTCGACTTGAGCGTCGCCGACGTTGCGCCCCAGAGACTCCGCGCCGTGCCCGTGCTCGCCTTGAGATAGCACGTCCCGTAATAGTGGACATAGGCAGCGCAGCCGTCGGTGTTTTGGCAGTCGGTGCAGCACTCGGACGCAAAGAAGCGGTAGCTCTTGGCAATCACGTCGCCCGGGAGGTCGGTGTTGTACTGCTGGCCGCTGCACTGGGACGAGAGCGTCGCGTTCGCGGTGCCCGCGAGAAGAAGAAGCAGGGATACCTTCATACCGTTGTGTGTACGAGGTGGTGAATTGGACAATGGCAATTCGAATCCGAGAGGCAGACGGACCGGACGCCATGCGGGCATTTTTGCACGGAGTGAGATCCGGTCGCGCCATCTGTTGACCTCGATCAGGAGGCCACCTAGACAGGCCGCTTCCAAAGATCCGTTGGCAATGTTCCAACCCAAGAGCGAGCGGTGGCGTCGCGCGTGGTGGCGGAGGTGCCCCAAGCGCAATCTCGGAACGGCAATCTCAGAAAGCCTCGCACCATACACTGTACGCCATACTCTGCTTTCGCCACATTGCACTTGATCGTCACGCGGCCTGAGACGACTTCAAATACCGAGACGGCACACCATAATATGCGGCAGAGGTGCGTCGACACAGAGAGGTGGACGCGGCACCCAATTACGTGCAGTGTCCCACGCCACTTTGGAGAGCCAGTGCGCTGGATGCCCAAGGCCACGACGTTCGAAAGGAGCCCATGTGCGATTGATGTCGCCGCATGCGGTGCATGACGCGTGGGTGTGTTGGAAGGGGATGAGGACCTGGTCGGTGCGAGCCGGCGGCATGGGTATATTCCTAACAAGGTGCAAAATTTCAACGCCATCCAAATACGATGTCGATCTCGCCCGACGACTCTGCATGCAGCGTCCCGTCCTATGGCCACCCATCGACGCGTCGACGACGGCGAGCAAAAGATGATCGGAGGATACTTGCCGCAGCGTCGATGCGGCGGCTCCGTCGTAGACCGGACGTTTCCCCGTTGACGCGACCAGAAAGCAAATCAACACTATTCGTGAAAAAAAGATATATCCGAGGCGCATTTTTACGTGTTCTAGTGTGTGTGCCACCGCCTCTGCGCGCTACAACTAATGAAAACGCTGTTCCGTGGCCTTCGGTGAATGGCCCACGCGCAAAGAGCTGCAGCGAGATTGCGAGCACATTGACGTGCAGCCTAGCGGGTCCAGATATATGCGGTCGCACGGTGCCGAATTGTGTATACTGTAAGCGCGGGAGATTCCCCATCAGTAGTGAAGGGCACACACCAAGGCTGTCGAGAAACGATCGAGAGGCTCGAACATGGGCCCACTGTTGCTCCCGCGGTGCGCCTTTTGTGCTTTGAGCTCTTCGCTCATTGGGCTTTTGGATGCTGAAGTGACGCACGGTGGCGACGAGCTTCTGCACTCGCGTTGGCATTGTCGTGGACGCCCTCACAGCGTTGTGACACCGTAGAGTGGTATGCGTTGTGTTGCATTCGACTCGTTTCTTCCGTTGCCTCGACCTGGTTCATCCTGGTTCGCCCTCGTCAGGCGGTACAATATACATGTAATCGCAACCAGCGACCAACGGTATACCAAAATGGAAACGGACCTTGCGCATTACGGAAGCACCTGGTTGTGGTCGTCAAGCTGCGCAGCTACATGGCGCGCGGTCGGGCGACGCTTGGAGTATCGTGCCGTGCACGCATGCGCGAGCTCAACAAACCAGCGCAGGCAGCTCTCGTCCGCGACGAGGAAGCGCTTGGGGCGTGATCTGGACGAAGATTTCAGTGTCCGACACGAGCTGACCCCTGCTGTTGACCACATTTGCACACAGGATGCGATGCGTGTCGAGCTCGGTGAGGACGACGCCGAGACTGTACACGCCGATGCTCTCGTCGCTGCCGACGACCTCGGGCGCCATCTAGTGGAAGGAACCGACGTCCATCGTCGCCTTCGCCAGACAGCGTGCATGTGGCGGAAAAGTAACCGAGCTTGGCGCCAAGACTTTGCCTCAAAACGATCGTGCTTGACTTGAGGTCGCGGTACGCGTACCGTGGGGTGAGACCGTGAAGCTACGCAAAGCCGTGAGCAAGCCATTTTGGAGTTTGGATTTGACGATATACTGTACGCTTCGGCGCTAAGGCGCGAACCACGTTGTAAAGTGTCCGTCATCTGCGAGTATCATTGTGGCAGGATTTGTAGAAGTTGGAAGACAATCATATAATGTGATCGCAGCCAACATAGGTGGCAGAAGCTCGATTTAGTACATGTACAAATCGCACCGCGCAAGAAGGGCAATCTCGGCTGGTTGGCGTCTCCATTGCTACTGTGTGATTATGTACCATCTTAAGCTCGGGCGGAGATGCCCGAGCCAAAGCGTACCATACGCACCAAGGTCAAGTGCTCGCCGCCGACGATGTACGTCCGCGGAATGTTGTGCTAACGTTAGCTGCTCCAGGCCCGACTCGAACACCTCACACCATCGCTCGTGCTCGATTGTGCTTTCTGGTGCAATTGTTGCCTCACTGCCTCGGTATCGATTTAGCTCACGCGTTTCTGGCTGCACCTTGTGCACGGGGTTGTCCCGCATCGAACGCCACGTCCAGCGCATAATATGACGACCGCCAAGGGCTCCGCGTCGTCGCGCAAGTCAATTCGCTTAGAGCAGTACACACATCTGTTTCCAGTACCATGCAGCCGCTGAATCACTCGCCACGGTATCTATATAAGCGAATTCCAACTTTCGTCCTCCAGCACATATTGGCAGCCGCTGTCTCGCTTTTTGCAAAGTCCAGGTCAATATTGCTCTGGATGCTCGTCAGCAGTGCCGGCCGTCAATGATGATTCATTCCGCCTTTATCTCCATGGTCTCGACGTCGCTTCTTCTCGCCGCTGCCGGCTTGGCGTTCATCGTATCGTCGGTCGACGCTGCGTGCCCGGCCCGCGTCCGCAAGTCGTGGAACCGCTACTCGGTGCAGGAAAAGGCCACGTACAAGAAGGCGGTCGCCAAGGCCATGGACACGCCGCTCTACGAACGCTTCATCTCGATGCACTCGGACCAAATGAGCAACACGGAAGCCCACGGCACGTGTGTCTTTCTCTTCTGGCACCGCAAGTTTCTTCTCGGGTACGAGAACATGCTTCGGAGCATGGGCTCCGAGTTTGCGTGCGTGACGCTGCCGTACTACGACTATGTCCAAGACAACCTCGGGTTTGCCGCCAAGAGCTGCGCCACTATCGAAGCGTGCTCGTCGCTTTTGCGGGACATGGGTGGTTCGAGTGGCCGATCAACGACCATCAAGATTCAAAAGTTCAACGTCCAGGGCAACTGCGTCGCGACCGAGCCGGTCAACCACTTTTGCGAGTCGACGGCCAGCTGCACCAAATGTGTGCCCCGGGGTCCATGGTCCACGACCAAGTTTGGCGCCGACGTCGGCTTTGCGTCCATCAAGAAGCAAATCTTCAAGGGTACGACCATCGCGCAAGCCAGCGCTGCGATCGAGCTTGCGCCCCACGGGTCGATCCACGGCACGCTGAGCAGCACGATGAACAACATTTACATTTCGCCGACCGAGCCAGTGTTTTACTCGCACCACGCGATGATTGACGCGCTCCAGACCATTTACCTCAAGTGCCGCGTCCGCGACAAGGGCATTACCTCTGGCGACATGATCTTCCAAGGGTGCCAGTCGACGTCGGGAACGCCGATCACTGGCAACTCCAAGATCGCCATGCGTGTCGTCGTTAATGGCAAGGCCGTGCCCGTCGACGACGAGCCAAGCGTCAAGGGTTTTTTTGCGGGCCTCCCCACCACGTACATGGGCTACACGGACGCGACGCGCCTCAATGCCCACAGCTATGCGTACGAGTTTACCGGCCTCTTGAGCGAGCTCTACGACAAGTGCGAGAACGCGGGCACGACACCGACACCGGCGCCGCGCCGCCTGGACACCACCACCAACGCGACCCTTGAGCACGCGACGCTTTCGGCCGAGAGCTGCAACCTCGTCGACGCGCAAACGTACCTGAAATGGAGCTACGCCATGCACGCGGCCGGCGCGGCGCAGCACCTCACGAGCGCGCAAGTCGACGACGATATTGAAAAAGTGCGCGCCGCGTTCTACGACGACTGTCTTCAGGCGTCAGAAGATTTCACGCCCGAGTTCAAAGCCATGTGGCATTTTCCCGCGCGCTGGGACGTTCAAGTGCTCAAGAGCGTCAAGGACGGTTCGCGGCCCATTCAACTCCAAGGCTGGGCCGACCTCAACATGCAGCATTTTGGCTGCCGCGGTGATGCGACCATCAAGCCGATTTGCGTTTAGGTATCGATTTTTTTGACTACCTGCTCGTGGCCTTGATCGTAATCTGTGTACATGTTGCGTTGTCCGATGCCTTGAAACGTGCAGTGGTGCAGTGCACACAGCTGCTGCGATGGTCGCCGGTCATCTTTCCGAGAGTGCATGCGTCGCGCTCGACGAATTGAGACCAGCATGCAGATACGATACGACACCGTGTGCGCGTTTTCGACGCGACATATGCGGTTGCGTCGACTGGCACAGCGAGTTGCAAGCGACTTGTATAGCCCATGTAGATATCTCAGATCTAGCCCATGTAGATATCTCAGATCTAGCCCATGTAGATATCTCAGATCTCATTTCTGCCGCGTCCTGCGCTCTCGAGATGTATCACCTTATCGCACGGACGTAAAGAACCACAGACTAGTAACGTTGTTGTGCGCTGAACAACGTTCAGGCAGGCGCAACCCAGGGTACGTCCAGTATATTGAATGTATATACCCTTGGACGGTCAACCTCAACCTCAAGGGCTGGCGCGCCGCCTGGACTCCCAAGCGACAAAAAGCCATTGGATGCGCGACGGCTTCATGCAACGTCGACGAATTGTGCATCTGCTGCTCGTAGTGCAACTTACTACCTGATCCTCCGTCACGTTGACCTCGATCTTCCACGCATTTCATATGAAAAATCAACGGCGCCAACTAAAATGAGATTCTTATCCCTCCAAGCGACGTACTTCCCGATGCAACGTCGAGGCGGCTTGCAGTGCGGTGGGTCGAAGCGTCGGGTCTTGCGACATGCACGCCACACCGAGCTCTTGGTACCAGGCCGGGCTTGCATGCGAGAAGCTCGGTCGGAACTCGCCGGCCATGACCTTGGCCATGATCGCCGTGTCCGTGTACGGCCGCCCGCTCGCGTTGCGCAGGTTTGCGTACGGCAGATCGTGCGTGTCGAGCTCAGTGAGGAGCACGCCGAGCGCATAGATATCGGCCGACTCGTCGTAATGGCCTTCTTGAAGCACCTCGGGCGCCATCCAGCGGTACGTGCCAATGCCGGCGGTCATGGTCGCGTCGTCCAGCTCGCGCGAGATGCCAAAGTCCGTGAGCTTGGCCGTCATGTTGGTGTTGAGGAGTACGTTGCGGGACTTGAGATCGCGGTGCAGCACCTTGGGCTC